AAATCAAAATCTAATTTAAGTGGAAGAGTAATAGCTGTATACCATATCCAGGTCATGATTGATAAAAAAAAAATCAAATATTTAAAATATTATTAATCACAATCCTGCWCAATAACTCTAATATTAGCTAAAAAAAAATCTGTAAAACTGACTGAGTTGTATGGGTGTAAATCACCAGATTTATTATATGTGGAAGACGATATATTTCTTATCACAAAATCTGTCACGATATGATCAGATTAAATTCGATTCACAAGTGTGATATGATGTGATATCATAAGCTCATCTAGCATAAATGATTATGTTAGATATATTGATCCACATCAGGTATAAGATGATGATATGGATCAATTTTTTTTCATTTTGCCCAGGTATAATTGAATCATTTAATCAATATATTGATGTGGATCAATGTATTGTTYCTGAGGTGTAGWRTTTTTTATTTCTGTTTTCCAGTGGATTAATTACTGACCACAGATATGCAGTGAAAGAAGTAGAAGTTAGTTATCTACATGCAAACAGCAAAAATGGAGTTTGCATGRAGACTAGTGGTACAAAGGCATCAGAAAAAAGTTTGATGTGCGAAATATCAATGTTGATTTAACTCTAAATTGTTAAAGAGCAGTTAAATTATAAAAATATTTATATTCTCTATCATCTAACAGCAACGTGTCCTGATGCATCTCAGTAATCCAGGTAAAAATCAAAAAGAAAAAAATTGTATAGGTCTTCTGGACGGGTTCTTCTCTAATAAAACGTTTCGTCTCTCCTCCAAGAGACTTCTTCAGTCTGAGAGTTTCAGGCAAAATTCAGGCTTTTAGGCACTGCCTCCATGTGACTGATACTCGCATCACATGGCTATCGTTGACACCTAATTAACCTATTGTTAACAGGGGTGGAGTGATGCTGGCAATAGCCGCACGGTAGGAGGGGGACAACTGAAAARGGAGGCCTCCACCTCTGTTTAATGATGGACGGTCTTTCTTCACAAAAATGGCTTCTTTTACTCCTCTCTCAAACCAACGTTCCTCTCTATCAAGAATGAGAACATCCTCATCTCTGAAAGAGTGACCGCTGGCCTGTAAATGAGTGAAAACTGCAGAGTTCTGGCCATTAGATGTAGCTCGTCTGTGTTGGGACATTCTTTTGAACCGTGGCTGCTTTGTTTCCCCGATGTATAACTGGTCGCAGTCCTCCTGGCACTTAACAGCATATACAACATTGCTCTGTTTGTGCCGGGACACCGGATCTTTGGGGTGAACCAGCCTTTGCCGTAATGTGTTTTGGGGTTTGAAAGCCACTGGGACATTATGTTTAGAAAATAAACGTCTCAGTTTCTCCGAAACACCCGCAACATACGGAATAACCACAGGTTTGGGTCTGGGTTTGGGGTCTTCATTTTCACCTGAAGGTTGCATGGAGTCCTGTCTGTGTTTCCTGTTTCTTGGAGGAGAGACAAAACGTTTCATTAGAGAAGAACCCGTCCAGAAGACCTATACAATTTTTTTCTTTTTTATCTAACAGCAACATTTACAAGCTAGGAAATGCATTCATGTAAGACTGAACTTTAGACGAGATTGTTGAGAACAGTCTTCCACTGTTCCATTTATTTAACCACAGATCCATGTATCCAGTGCGTACGTGTAAAGACTCGCTAATGTCACTCCTCAGGTGCATTTGATCAATTTCAAGAGTTGGGTTCTTGTTCCAGAGCCAGAGATGATCTCACACCCTTGTCATCCTCAGTTTGCATTTAACAGAGCTCTAAGTTTACAAAGCTAACGCGTCCATTCCACCTGAGGCCCTGAGCACGAGACCGTCTACTGTCAGCCCACCAAACCTGTTTGATGCCACTCAACACAGGGGGGGCTCTCAGAAACAGTGGGTGTCGTGTAACGTTGCATGCCAGCAGAACTCCTCTGGCTTCAGGCTAACGTGGGCCTAAATTAGTATTTGGACTTATCTTTGGATCTTGAACATGACACTGTTCCCCTTTGATTTTTGGAACCGCGGTTTCGGCCTCATCAGTCAATATTTTGTGCCTTGAGCAAGTTCTTCTGTTTCGTTTGTTGCATGAAGAGTGAAGGGCCTCCTTTTGTGCTAACCAGCTGTCTAATCTCATGAAATCGCAAAATGAAATCAGTGGTTTTATGCTAGTTATAAGGTTTGTTTATTGTATGTAATACTTGACAAAAGTTAAGTAGTTGGTGTCTGATTTCTGACTTGAAAGGTACTTTCAAATGGGCTGATATTAAGCTGTCGTCAGGTTGTTGTGATGTCTGTTTTGCACCAAATACTGAAGAATAGTTTAAATTCTAGCTGTAATTGAAAATCCTCCCATCAGTCTGTCTGTCCACCCATTCTCTTCCTCCTGTTCTGGAGTCGGACTTGTCCAGAATATCTCACTGAGGATGAGTCCATGGGGCATCCTGGAACTGAAATTGAACATGCTACGTAGAAATTTTTGCATGAAAAATACGGTGGGTAGTTAAATGCCCCAAAGTGGATATTTTCACTCCATTTTTTTTCTTTTGTTGTTCATGTTTAAATGTGTCTCATTTTTTTCCAGTTTTAGCTAGAAAGGGTACATCTATGATGAATCTATCTGGAAAAATTGGGACAAATATGTGTGAGACTTCATCATGTCTGAATAAATGTAAGGCACTTCGCCTTATCTGACATACCGTCTTGTGAATGTGCGAATGTTATTTATAGCCAAAGTTCATGACTSAACCCATAGCAATGGTGGTCAGTTGTTTTGGTCTGGTGGTTAGTTTTAATTTTTTGACCGGGTTAAAATATTTCAAGGTTAATATTTTACTATTGTAGATTTTTGAAAACATTTTTATTTTACTTGTTATGTACAATATTAAACAAAATCTTATGTGTCCAATGAGTATTTTTTAATGTTGAATATTTGTAATAATAATAGTAATAATAGTAGTAGTAGTTGTAGTAGTAGTAAAGAAAAGAAAAGATTGTTGTAAACAAAAACACCAAACTGAAGTAAAAACTCTGCAGGAGCTGGATTTACTCTCGATGTTTCATCAGCTCATCGGTTAGGGTCCAGAGTCTGTGGGGGTCCAGAGTCTGGAGGGTCCAGAGTCTGGAGGGTCCAGA